GGTAGTGATAGTCGCCGGTGAAGCAACTGGAACCCGGTGAGAAGCTGCAAATCCCTCCGGCGGAAGAAGTGGGATGCACTGAAATTCGCCGGAAAATGCTTCCTGATTGTCGCCGGAAAAAATGAGAGAGAAATGGAAACTGGAAAGTAATCAGGTTCTGCGACATGATCGGGAACAAAATGTGGAACCCTTTAGGGGCGACACCTTTAGGGACGACTTTGAATATTTAGAGACGACAATTTGGAGGGAAATTCACGCGCTCATATTTTCGCCACCTTTAGTGGCGACAACGTCATCCAGTGGATCAGGATGCAATCGTAGGGACAAAAATTGATCCGGAAGCATTCACACGGATCGCCGATCAAACCCTTTAGTGACGCCCTTATTAGCGACGACGTGAGGCTTTAGCGACAACAAAAACGCGTATTGTTAAGTGTCGTCCCTAAAACTTCGTCTCATCCCTAATGGTGTCGTCCCTAAAGCTTATATTTCTTGTTGTGTGAGTCCTACAGTCCTGAAGATGATGACTATGAAGGATATAACTTTATCTTGAGTGGCAAACTTTCTCCCATTCGTATTATTTTCCTCAACAGTTTCATTTAAGAGGTTTGTTTTGACTTTCTTTCTCTTCATTTCAATTGAATGACCAAGTAAACTCACTGTACGTTGTCTATGTGTACGTATTTTATTACTAAAATGAAGTTAATTCATGTTGCAGCTCCTTACATTATGATGACATTAACTTTTATATACGTGGGTTTAGACCATCTGTTCTGAAGTTCCCACATGCAGAAAAGTTCAGTGAAATTGCTAAATTTAGTGGAACAAAGTTTTCTTCTTCAGAATCCATTAACTTCACTGCTGACATTTCTAAAGGTGATGCAGACTTTTTTTCTTCTTGATTTCTTTTACTATGTTTTGAAACAGTTGTACATGATTAATGTTTAAATTTTGTTGACATGTTGCAGAGACTACAAATTTATCAACAAAAATGTGAAGCGTTTGAGACTGTTATACATTCGTACACATCTTGCCCTTATGCATGGGATGAACCTTCTTACCCACATCGTCTAACTGTTGAGGTATGGATTCCATCTATCAGTCATATATTGTAATTATTAATTAAGTACTCAAATATTTTAATCTCCAAGGTGTTTGTTGAGAGGGTAGAAAGGTCTTATACTCTTGATGATGCCAAAGAGTACAAACCTGTGGTTTTACCTTCAACTTCTGAGGTATATTTGTAATTTATACAAAAATGTCTACATGGGGTAAATCCGTAGTATCCTCGTTTGGACATTTGACCCAACTTTCCTTCAAACTAGCTTTCAATTTCATTATCATTATTAACTTATTTCATGTTAATCCTCACTACTTAATATTGTTAATGTATTTTGTTTCCATATAATCATCGATTACAAGGATATGAAAAGAATCCCTTTCCTTGATCAATGGATGAATGAATTCAATGAAGGGAGAATAAACCCGAGGTAAATTATTTGGCAATATCATGAATGAATTCAATGAGGTCTGTCATTGGGCAGCATATTATGTGAGTTCACTCTTCATGCTGTTGTCCCATTAAAGTTTTTTTTTAAAAAAAAAACCATTATTCTTTTAGTATTGATATTTCTTTTTCTTTTTTTAGGAACATAGGATGCGCCTTGGACAGAAAGCCATATTTCACACTGAAGGTACTTTTTCTATCTTTTGTATCTCCTTGATGTCATAGCTCATGAGGGTTGTTTGTGTTTATAATAAGAAATGGGAAGTAGCTTTTGGTTGAAACTCTTTTTTAAGTTATGTTTTATTTTCATGGATTTATATCTTTTTCATAAATTGTGGCTTTTGAGGTGGATATAGCTCAATATTATTGTACTAACTTTTTTCAAATATCTAAAATACCCTTTAGTAAAGTTAAAGTAAAGCAACCTTATGGATCCAAATCAATTACGTTTAGTTCATTTACTTATTTACAATGATGATAAGGGGTAAATATGTAACTTCCATCCTAGAACTTCTTGAAAATGGAAATGTTACAACTTTCAATTAAATAGATTGATGTTTTATTTCTGACTTGTGATTTGCAGCATTTGTGGCCAAGTTCGTGAGCATCTACAAAGGCTTTCTGATTGTGACATTTGGCTGAGCTCAACATCATTCTCTATGAACCTCATATGCTTCAAACTTCATCAATGTTGGCTTTGGATGACTGAGTTTCAATTGACTTGTTAAGAACCCCCCCCCCCCCCCCCCTTCCTTTTTGTTTTGGTATGTTGTTTTCTTCTTAAACCATCTATTGAAGGGGATAGATTTTGTAATGGAATGTAAGAACCCTTTTATATGAAAGGCAAGATGCAACTCCACTTAGTTGGAATTTGATGTTTATCATCTTTGTGTGTATCTTTTTAGTTTGTATAGCATTACATTGCAGAAGGTGTCCCTTAATAGCAATGTAGTATTAGGTTATATAGTTAGGGAAAACATCTTAATAACAATGTACAATTAGATCCCCTTAATATCAATGTATTACAATTTTTTGACATGATGTTATTGGATGAAATTGATTGTTTTAGTATATATTTGCTTACATATTGTTTGTATTATGCGTAAATGGGTATCGTAAAGACGCGTCGTAAATGCATATCGTAAATGGTTATTGAAGTTTATGACACGCAAATGCGTGTCATCTTCATTTATGACAGGGGCTTCCTTGATACGCATTGTATGTCATAAACACGCACGTCGTAAGGTTACGACACACAAATGCGTGTCGTCTTCCTTTATGACAGGGCCTTCCTTGATACGCATTGTGTATCATAACTGCGCGTCGTAAATGCGCGTCGTAAATAGACAACGCACAAAAACGTGTCGTCTCTCGTTATGACAGGGCCTTCCTTGACATGTATTTGCGCGTCGTATGAGCGTTTTACGACACGCATTGCGCCTCGTAAAAGGCTGTTTTTCTAGTAGTGAGGAGAAAAGGTTATACCTAACAAGCCTTTGTTCTTCCCTTTTTTTCTTGGATGCTCAATTCCCCACTTGAATCAAACTCTAGATGATGAAGAATAGTGAAATCACCATTAGGTCTTCTCCCTTGTTGCAAAACACGATCCAAAAGAATGAGGGGAAGAAGATGATATGCATCTTATTTTCTAAAAGGTTGCTATTTGGTCCCTCAAGTTTGCTTATTTTTCCAATTTCCATCATAAACTCCTATTTTGAGATTTTAACTTCAATTTGTACATAATAACTCCCTCCCCATCCATTATAAACTTTTGTAGTCTAACCCATTAATTGAGTCAACCATTTGGTCAAATTACTTTACCAACTCAACACTTTTGACCCTTGAACTTTTTAAGTGTTATTATTTTCACTTCTAACTTTCTAAACTTCATATAAAATAATGATATGATTATCCCTTGATTATTTATTTACGAGAGTCAACATCACGTCGTGAGATGGGGGTGGTTTTACAAGGGCCTCAAAGGCATTTAGGTAAGCCAACTCAGCCACCTACATGTTGTTTCCGATCCATACCTAGTACCCTCAATATATCTAATACGTCCTTGAAATTTAAACAATGTAAATTAACTTTATACTAACCAACTCATTAAACCTTTTTTATGAAAATAACCAAGTTTTTTTTTATTTTGCAAAAGAACCATATAATACGGAACGCTGCATTCCATACTCGTTTTTTATCGGGCCACAAACATTTTTAACCCGACCCACTAATCAGGTCCCCTACATATAATATTTTGGAAAATCGGTACATAATCGTATTTCACATTTAAAGGAGTCTCTCCAGCAGACATTTCAGACTATAAGGAAATACATCTTGGAGTTATGATTTTGTCAAGAAATGTCGTCTGATAGTAAAGAGCACAAGTTTTTATAGGTATGTGTTGTTATTTTAATCATATTATTTCGTTTTTTTAATTATTATTTGATGTATGAAATTTAGTGTGTTGTTAGTACTTTTTTAGATGAAGTATTTCATTTGAAGTAGATATTGTTTCTATTTAAGATTTTTGTGTGAGTAATAGTTGTATTCGGAACAATTAGTACTAGTAAAATCCTAGAACATAGTCTCTATAATGCACAGAACTAATCAGGAATCTGTAGAACTAGTCTGGAATAAATAGAACATGTTCATAACCATACGAAACACATTAAATGATAGTCCAAAACAATATGTTAATGTTAATATTTTACATCATGTCCTATATATGAATCATTTGTCATTACAACCTATAAACCTGAATTAGGTCTGAAAATTATAGCTAGGCTGCAACACGAACGACACTTTTAGGGCGTCATGTTTTGGTCGATGGGTCGATGTGTCGATGGTTGTAGAATATCACACATTACTTTATCATTACTTGTTATACACAGAGGTAGTGATCCATCCTCAGATTAATATTGAAGAGTTGTTATTTCCGATAAAAGACTACCATATATGTTTTGATAAAAATCTTTCAAGACTTGTTACTGCTTGAAGTTAGGGGAGTATATAACGACTCATTTATCATCTAAACATTTTAGGAATCACGTGTTTCCATTTGTCCTTGCAAAAAAATCTGTGAAATTTTCTAACTTGTTGCATGTCTTCAATAACTTACTTAATGAGTTATTCGATTAACTAGATGAAGATGCAATCCTATATACTTGTTATATATATATTTTATGGTAGACACCCTAGGCAGAGCAGCAGTGCAGGAAGAATACGTTATACTGATCTTGGATCACTAGTACATAAATGATTTGTTGATGCGGTTAAAATAGTTATTTGATGCGGTTATTGAACCGCACTAAAAAATATCGCCTCAAAAAATATCCTCATTTAATAGTGCGGTTATAAAACCGCCTCAAAAAATAGTCAAAACCGCACCAAAAAATAGTAGAGGAAAAATACAAACCGCACCATAAAATGATGAAAACCGCCCCAAAAAATGCAAACAGCACCAAAAATAAAACCATCCCACCGGAAACCACCCTTAAACCACCATCATCTCTACCGCGTGTTTGTTGCCGAGAACATAAGATTCACCAAGCCACACCATTTTTATCGCCATTAACCACCGTCGAGCATCTCTACATTGACCTCCTTTATAACCGAGCATAAACCACCACCAGTTGACCCCATCGCCGTCTGCCCTACCTTTGCTGGAAACCACCATTACAGCCACGAAGAACACCCAACATCCCTGGTTACCATCGTTTTTCCACCTTAAACAAACCAAACATAAATCAGTAAAAAAAAGGAAGAAGAAAAAAATTAGTTTATCTGCATACCTTCCATCTCCACCACTAACCACCGTCAACACCGACCACAAATGTCGTGCCTTTACTGAGAACTATCGAAGCACCACCATCTCCTACATATTTTCGATCAACCAACTTATTTCACCTTAAACAAACCAAACGTTAATCAGAAAAAGAAAATAAGGAAGAAGAAAAGAGATATGTTTCTTGTGTTGTCTGTAAAAAGGGGTAAAGCACACGCAGGGCACACATATTTTTAGAGGGAAATGAAAATATAGAAGGAAAACGAAAATGTAGGAGGGAAATGAAAAATTCGAAGGATCAACCAACTTGTAGCTTGCTTGAACATGAAAATTTTGAACAAAATTTGGAGGGATCTCGTGAAGAATGAAAAATTCGAATGAAATTTTTAGAGGAAAGATTAATGGTGCGGTTGAATGTTTTTTAGTGGGAATTATTTTTTGATGCGGTTCAATGTTTTTTACTGCGAATTATATTTTGAGGCGGTTTTTGAAATTATTTTTTAGTGCGGTTTTGGGAAACCGCCTCAAAAAAGCTTTAATGGTGCGATTTTGGGAAACCGCACTAATAAAGCTATTTTATGGTGCGGTTATCTTCTTTTTTGATGTTGTAGATATTTAATAAGGCGGTTTTTAGAAAGGACCGCATCAAAAAATAAAAATCATTCGCTCTATTAAATGACTTGTGTAGTAGTGGATTTAGACTAATTCAATATGTATCGATTATGTAACATTAAAATAATGATTTTATATTATATTTAGTTTTTATAAAATGCCAAATTTTTTCTAACATGGATATCCTTATGGGCGAGTATTCTTTCATTACATGAACAAACATATGTCCACTATCTTTGATAAAATCGATGAACATCTGAACGCCACCCGCCCAAGAATCAACCAAAGACCATCATATAATGTACAAGGCTTTATACATGTCTTTATTATGAACATATTGGCTTATTATACAAAACTATTTTACCGTAATTATGTTTACTATTTCTTTGGTATCTTAATTTTATAGATTTGGATTATGGAGACTTTTTCGTACTATAGGACACTCGACAACCTCATATCGGGTGTGATCCCTTGTGTGGTTGCATGGCTGAGGATTATGCCTTTAAGGATAGTCAAATGTATGTGCGTGCTTGATGTAACCATGTTATGCATGTTTATTTATCATTTTTCTTTAACGTGCTATAAGGGTATTATTCACCTTTATTTTTTATTATATGCAGAAATGCCTGATCAAGACCTTAAAAGCTACTCACCTGAAGTGTGGTGCTTTATGGTTGGCTAATAGTTGGCCGTGGATAGAGATGACTAGTTTACCTTTTTGTAGTGTTGAATTTAGTACATTTGAAAACTATGTTGGAAACGATTTGTTTTTTTTGGGTGTAATATAAAACTAAGGGAAGTTGATATTTCTTGAAATTTAAGAAGCTATAAATTAATACGGAAATGACGAAGGTTTTTTAGATCAATAGAAGGATATATGTGACTATGTCCTTGACTAACTTTTATCTTAGTCTTAATGCCAAATTTAGTCATTTATAATTCTTATTTTGTTGTTTATTTTGGGAACAGACCATAATAGTTTCTACTTGTGCGTCTCATGTTTTGGCGGCAACTGTTTTTTTTTTGTATCGGACCTTCTCATTGGGATGGGATACAGTTAAGGCTTGGTGGATGCCTAGCTTGTGGTTATCCATCAATGGAGATAATACAATCCTTACTACATCCATTTGTTCATAATCAACTACAACCAACATAAATAACACCACCTCTTCATATGTTGTTCGATGCATTTCCGTTGTGAATACCGTTCCACCCATTTATGGTTGTATATATATCCCAGTTATTTGAAGGTCTTCATATCATAAGCGCATGGTATACCAATAAATTGACATTTGGAACATCTTCATGTTGCTCTTATGAGTGGACTATACCATTTTCCTTTTGGGCATTCACTTGATATTTGTGTTTATCCATTTGGTAAACCCAGAAACTTACTGATTTGTGAATCCGCCTATAAATAATATCATCAACATAACTAATTTCTTATTCCTCCTATAAATAATATCCGCAAACTTGTTGAGTATTTCTTTTTCTTTAAAATCTAAAAAATAATAATAATGGTACTTTTTCTTATGGGGGTTTTGGCGTATAATTCAACCCCCCCCCCACCCACCCACCTCATATTTAGTCTCATCATCCTCATATTTAAAGAAACAATGGAATTTTTCCGCCAAATTTTCGTGTGGAAGTATATTACCATCATCACTTTTTCTTAATCGATTGCTGATTCATGAACCTTAAAAGTTGGACCATTATATACGATCCTTCGTAATAACCACTCGTATCTAGCTGATAACTAATTGTATTTACCTGTTTGACATAAATGTACACCATGCTGTTTTAAAATTCTAAAAAGGAAAAAATTTAGTTGTACTTTGTGTTAAAAATCGGGTGTTACACGACCATACCACACATCAAAACCTAGATGTCACCCCTTTCGGCCCACCAAAACACCTTATCCATTACCAATATTGCTTACTTGCATCACCCAACAACCCATTGCAAAACCTGTATTAGCTCTAACATCCATCCTGGCATCCTGTTCAACAATATCCCTTACCTTCACATGACCAAATGCAACCAATTTCAAAATATGGTATTTTTTAAATCCAATTGATTTATCTCTTCACAATCAAAACATATCCCCTATTCCTTATAATTCGAATACTATTCTTCTAAATTAGAATTGGAATACTGGAATGCACACTAATTTTGTACATTTCTTAAACAAAATACTTATGAACTGTGTCGCGTCCTTTCGATGAAAATATATCCATTTTTATTGGATTTTATGACATAAAAAACATGGAAATGGTGTTGTAAAATGAAAATTTTCAAGTACTAGGTTTTGATTGTGATGAAATGTTTATCCATATCGTTAAACCAACACTTATATGTATGGTTCTAAGTCTTGAAATGGGTTGCAACTAGTCAATTCATCAACTAGATGTCAAAAATGCATTTCTCTATGGAGATCTTCATGAGACTATAATATGCATCAACTAGTATGATTCTTTAATCCTAAATATCTCGGTTGTGTATTTAAGCTTCAAAAGTCCCTTTATGGCCTACAACATGCCCCATAGGCTTGGTATCAGAGGTTTTCTAAGTATCTTCTATGTATTAGTTTTTCTTTTAGCAAAAGAGACCGCTTACTCTTTGTTGGACTATGCCATATTGAATATGCTTACTTGTTTCTCAATGTCGAAGAGACAATTCTTACAACTTCCATTAACAGTATCGAAAAAATAGATGATTGACCTAGAGTCCCTAACATACTTTCTTAGAATATCTATGGAATGTACTATCAATATTTTTTCTCACTTAAAAGAAGTACATTGAGGAAATTCTTCATTGAGTAAACATGGCCCTAACAATCCTGTTGAGACACCAGTCGATACCAACTCAAAATTGAGGCCAGTATGGGTTCTCTTATAACTGATCTTAACCTCTATTAGAGTCTTTTTCTGGAGCACTTCAATTGACCCTAACCTCAATGGACCTCTCGATCTTGGGCTTTACTTATACCTATCCCCACCTTCCAAACTCATTACTTATACTGATGTTGATTAGGTGTTACTCGGACACCTACCGGTCGACTATTAGTTATTATGTATTCCTAGGTGTTGGAACATGAAGAAGTGATCCTTATGCAATCCGATATGAAGACTTCCGAGATGAAGGAGTTCCTAAGTGGAAGTGTTCTGAAGTAAAGATGTTCCAAAGTGAAGACGAGTCCTACATCCATTTTTGTTTAGAAGTATTTTGAGTATGTAATGCATTAATTGTTGCAAGTACTATTTTGTAATGTTCTTATTGTTTTCTAGTATAGTAGAAGAGACAAGATCAACAACAACGGATGTGTCAATCTGTTGATTGTCAAAAGTCTCTAATTCCATGTGCACTTTATTAGATTTGAATTTTAGTTACTCCTTAGCTATTTAAGGAGGTATCTTCATTATATCATTATAGAGATGTGTGCACCTTTTTCACTTTAATCAAGAATCATTCAGTCAATCATTCTCTCTTACATTCTTATTTTTCTTGAATTACTTTACATTGTTCATACTTACCACTTTTCCATATTTGAGCACTTTGTTGATTATCTCTATTCCGAGACAAGACTAGTTTACCAGACTTGACTTGATCTACATTACAAGCAGACATTTAATTCAAGGTTTGAGTTCTCAAACCTTGTCCACACAAATCCTTGCATTCATAATTGGTATCAGAGCCTAAGTGGTTGTCCTTTGAATCCATAAGCAAATAATATAGTTGATTATTTATTACCATGGTATCTCAATCATTTCTGTGTTCAGGATAAAGTTCTTCTATATACCACTTTATCTCTAATGTCTTAACTTCAACGGCTGCTTCTAATCAATCTCACCAAATGTGGTCAACGCAAATAGAAAATAGTGTGGGTTTCCCGTTACGTGCCCTATTGCTAGTTGTTGAAGAGTATGATCACTGAAAAAGTTAGAAGGGAGAGATTTTTTTCTTGGTAAATAAAAATTTGAAGAAATATGGAGGTTAGTGAAAAAAGGTCCTCATGTTCCTGTTAGACAAGTGGTTTGTGATGTTTCCACACTCATGGGTCAAGAAGAAACTCGACCAACACTACTAACTGCAACCGACATTGAGAAACTCCATGAAGATCTGTTGGGTTTTTGTGACAACCCGAAATTTCTATCTTGTACAACACTTAAACTCAATCAAAGTCAGACTCGTATCTGCTATCTTCTAGCACTATTTAGAGTCTGTTTGAGTGTCCTAATCCTAGTACATCCAAGGAATGAGTGATAGGAAGTGCCGGTTGAAGTTCAAACCAACATTTAAGCCATAAACCCCTTTCATGAGGAGTTTACGGCCAAGACACATGAGTTTACGGCCGTAAACTCATGGTGGCTGTAAACTCTTGGCTATATATGTGATCCTTGGCCATTTTCAAACACTTTTACCACTCTTAACTCAAGAACTCGGATTTCGCTCTTAACTATCATAAAGTTCTTCACTTAAATCTTCAAAAAATATAAGTGTTTCCATCCCTTGATTAGTGATATATCTTCTTAACTAGCATAACCCATTGATTCCATCCATTAACATTATCTTTTGGGTTAGATCTTCAAGAACACCAAGAACACACACTAGTGTTTTGGGCCGAAATCAACTTTTTTTTAGCTTCTATATCGTAAGTATCACTTCCCTATGCTCGATATCTAGTTGAAACGCATGTAAGAAACTTTGAAAAACGTCCATTGCCCAAGAACAATAGGTGTTTACGGCCAAGAGCATCTCCCTTGGCCGTAAACCCTAGTTAGAGGTGCATATGAACCATAAATCCTTCCAAAGGCTTGTTCTTGAGTCTAGAACACTTCCTTGTGGTTTGTAAGACCTTAAAACACCTTTTGGCACAAATCATCATGAGTTTACGACTGTAAACTCATGAGGCCGTAAACACTTGGCCGCAAACACCAAGTGTGGCCGTAAACTCCCCTTATACACAATCATTTGTGATTTATGCCTTTCCATTCAAGTGTATCCTTGTCCCTAAGGTGTTTCCCCTACCCGATTCGTGTATAAATATTAATAAGATACATATATGTGTCATTATATGCTTATTAGGATCCGTTGTGTTCAAGTCTTCACTTGACACTTAGCATCCTACAAAAGGATCTTTCATTCGTATCACTCATTTCAGGTGAGTTCATACCCATTTAACTTACCTTTTAAATGATTTTAAATGCTTTTATGGGGGAGAATACAAGTAGAAACATTATAGTGATTATATCAATCATATGTGATTTATAACTATCAAACAATGAAATTTTTATACTTCAAACTGTGTTATCAATCAAATTGCTTCAAATCGTCTTACAAACTCTTTTATAAGCAAAACTATTTATCAAACTCTTTCAAACTTCTATTTTGTCAAAGGCATATCTATATAGATATAGTTATATAAGTAGGATTGAAAGGACTTAGGACTAATAGCTCGCCTTACTTCCTGTTCCTTGTTTGGTTGTGGACTTAGGGTATCGGTTGTTTGTCCAAAGGTCGTTTGAATCTTAATTATATATTATGTGTATGTAGATAGATATAAAAGTTATTCATTCAGTTCAATGCCTTCTGGTAGCAAAGGTGTACAAACATGTTCATTCATACAAACAACATTACTAGTAAACTATTATAGGTATAGTTTAGGAAGTCACTATTACTATTACTAAAACAACGAAATACACAATGAGTCAGTTCACACATGAGTCAGTAAACACTATAACGAGAAACAATACTTACTATAAAGAGAAACAGATAGAGAATACTATAACGAGAAACAATACTCACTATAAAGAGAAACAGATAGAGCATACTATAACGAGAAACAATACTTACTATAAAGAGAAACAGATAGAGAATACTATAACGAGAAACAATACTCACTATAAAGAGAAACAGATAGAGCATACTATAACGAGAAACAATACATACTACCCACTATACACTAGTGAACATACTACTTACTAGACAGAGAGAACATACACTACACTAGTACATACTATACAAATACAAGAATACTATAACATTAATGTGAGATACTACTTCATCGCTCGGCATATACTTTTGTTTCACGTTTTGTACCCAGAGTCTCCTGGAGGGAGAGCGTGAATTTGTGTATAGATCTATACGGGACTGACCCTCTTACACCTTGTTGCTAGCTACAGTGGGACCTGCAGGTCTACGGGTGACGAATGTCATATCATTTAGACGTCTCAAACGTCGTGTTTTACTGGTCGATCAAGTATGGTTACAATCATATCACATTTTGCCTTAATTAACTAACAAGTTTAAAGGTAGTTAGTACATTGGTAGTTACCTAGATAAAACTACAGTACATCTTTATTTTTCCCATTTCATTCACATTGTGATCTTCTCACATAATCGGTATTGAGAAACTATATTTTGGTAATGATAGTCATACTTTGGGAAAACTCACACTTTTACAAAAGAACAAACATAGAGAACAGTTGAGTCTTGGTAGAAGACTACGTCAGTAGAGAATATAAGATTTTCTAGGAAGTTTACAAACATTTACATCAAATACTTACAAACTTTTACATCAAACATTTACAAGTACATTCTTCAAACTTATACAAACAATGACACTAAAATACTTATGAACTCACCAGCTTTAATGTTGATCTACACTTTCAAAATAACTTGTATTCTCAAGTCACTAGTAGACAGGTACCGATGGCCAGGTTCAGAGAAGATGGAGCACATTCAAGACTCATCTCTTATTTTGATTTACATTTTTGGTGTCTTATAAACTTCAGAACACACTTGTATTAAAATATTACTATTAATGCAATGGATAATGTTGTTGCTTGTTTACTATTATGCATTGTTGTGATACTTTACATGACGTCCTCCACCCCCGAACGTTTCCGCCGTTCAGGTTTTGGGGTGTGACAGTTTTGAGCATTCTAACACTCCTATGGTGTACATGAAACCCTAAATACCTTGGATCTA